TTGCGCATTTATCGAGGGCTGAGGTGGTATCAATACCGATTCGGTGGCGACGGTTCTGCAACTGCTCCCCTTACTCTTCTCACCATCATGTCGATTTCTGGAAACTGCGCGACTTGGTCTCTTGCTGGGACTAGGACCGATCGCAAAGCACTCTTTGGGTGGAGGCGACGTCAGTGGGTGCATCTCCTTCAAGTGCACTTCCTTCTGACAGAGCTTCGTTCAGAGGATCCCCCGCTGTTCGCCTACGCGGTCGGTTACTCGTCGTCGCAGACTCGGGTCTAGCTCACCGCACTAGGGAAGTACATGGGAACGTCATGGACCCTGACTGCTGGTCGTATAACTGAACTGCTAGACCAGCGCAACGTTAACAGGCAGACACGCAACACCCATCCCGGCTGCAGAATGTCCATCACTCACTTTGCGACCCTCGTCATCATATCCCTTGCCGTTCTTACAGTCCGCAACGGCAAGTCCATCAATTCGAGTGTTGTGCAACATCGTCAGTGTCTTTTCTTTATCTCCAATGCATATCGTTTTTGCGGTCTGGTTATGGGTGCGGTTTAACGGCGTCTGCGATAAGGTTAGTGTGTTCCCTGGTCAAGGCGACTGTGTACATCCAGTTACTCGCATCAAGACTTGCAGGGAATGTCCACTGCACCGACCCTGTGGCGAAGGATCTCTCAACCTTCATATCTGCGGAAGTCGCCCGTTCGATTCGGGCCCGAGTCATTCGCACGGTTGCTATTTTTTTTTTCGCTCTCTTCTGTGCCAGGCCGATATCATTTTGGTGGCTTCCAGACGGCAGGTGAGCATGTCATTTTGCCATCTTTCATGGTGCGTTTAACGTTTCGGTGTTCACCCTATTGTTTTCTTTGGTACACGTCATTCAGAGAGAGCAAATATTTCTGATCTCTTATGCAGGGTACGTCCACGGTCAATACCGACTCGGTGGCGGATGGTTCGCGTCTGCGGGTCATTCTTATCCTCCTGACCTTTCAGCAGAAGTCGCCCCTTCGATTTGGGCCCGTCCCTCCTGCGTATGTGTGTTATTGACATGGTTTATGCAGAAGGCGCCCGTTCGACTCGGGCCCGAGTCACTATTAATCCCTGGCTCCTCTTCATTTTTCGTACTCGTTCTTCCAGTGCTGCTCTTTCCCATTCGACTCGTGTAGTTTCATTATCTGGCCGTGAACCCTCCCTCGTCTGGACTGGTATGTATTTTCATCCACGACCCGGATGCAAGTATTTATTTCGTCCATTCCGTCTTGCTTGAATACATATCCAGGTCGAATGAAGTGTTTTCGACGACTCGATGGCGGACGGTCCGCATCTGCGGCGGATAAATACTGCGAAGCAGAGCACGCCCGTTTGACTCGGGCCCGAGCCATCCACTTATTCTCGCGGTTATGGCAGTTTTGGCCGCCGCTAATTCCACTTTTGTTTTCAGGCACATCCTTCCCGGACATATGCGACGAAAATCCCACCGGATGGTGCCCAGTCATAGAAGTTCTCCACAATGCAATTTTTGCAGCTTGAGCCCTCTACTCGTATGTATCCCATGCCATGAATCCTCCTGCATTTTGATCAGTGTCTAACTTTTTCATCATTTGACTAATTCCAGCTTGCTCGCATATCCATGCGAAGAGTGCTTGTACCGACTCGGTGGCGGGCGGTGCGCGTCTGTGATCCTGAGTTTGCTGCATGCAGCAGATGGTGCCCGTTCGATTCGGGCCCCAGTCATGCATTTCCCCGTTGTACGTTTTTCCCCCTGATCTCTCGCGTGCTTATATTATTTTTAACGGCGTGTGTGAATCATTGCTCTCACTAAATTTTGAGCTGGTATGCTCGTTCCTCTGCGATAATATTTGGCAACATAACTGGTTTCAGACAGCTTCCGGTCAGTTGGTGCCTTCATGGCGCTCTTCATTGCTAGGTATTCCTCATGTCACCCCAGACTGAATATCACTGATGTTTCTACGCAGGGCAAGTAATTCCGAGCCTGATGCCGACTCGGTAGCGGAGGTCTGGTTCCGAAGTCGCTCGTTAAACTCGAGCCCGACTCATCCTTTCTTCTTTCACGATTCGTTTCGCCCTCTTCTTTCCCAAGACCCAGTTCTGCGAAGCCCTTAGTATCTGACGAACATTGGCCAAATAAATCAGACTCTCTCTCGAGAAAAACAGCCACCTCCCTGAAATATGACTCAGTCCCGAATCAAACGGGCACCCTCTGCACAGAAAACTGGGTCGTTTCGCAGAGAACAATCGTGTCCCATAATTTCGGGTTCATTTTTCACGCGGCTGCACGTCGCTCGAAGAGGTTACATTTGTTCAGGGCGCAAGAGGTGTTAGTACCGACTCGGTGGCGGATGGTCCGCGCCTGTCAAATCTTGATGTGGAGAAGAGTCTTCTCATGCAGGACCCGCCCGTTCGATTCGGGACTGAGTCATCTGAGAATGAAGTTTCGTTCTTTCGTTTTCTCAACGCTTGTGGTCTGCGACTCGCATTTATCTCTATTTTGTCATCCGCATCCACGCCTGGGCGACTCATGGGCAGATGGGCATGAGTAGGAGTTGGGATTGCGCGAGTAATGAGTGGAAACTCCTCCAAAATTCGTATCCGACTTGAAAATCTATCTTGGTCGCTGAAGTTGACCGTGTTGGGACAAGAAAAATGCCAGAGACAGAAACAGGACTTGAAAAGTCAGATATAATTTGCAAGAAATATCTATAATATGACATGCATCCCGTTCATATCTAGCACAGGAGGTTACTCCCCGAGTGCACTCGAGGGTACTAGTCCAGGAACGAAGTTCCCGGAAGACAAACTCAGCTTGCACTCAACGTAGTCAGTGTGGAGACGGGGTGCAGCTACAAGTCAGGCTTGCTGTGCTTCGCGGGCGCATGCATCCCCCGTGCGCGCGAGTTCCCCGCGAGCGTTATTTAATATTTGCCGAGTAAGGGCGCTCCACGTCACAAGTTCCGCTAGCGAGCTCTGCATTTGAAGCGTACGCCCCGTCTGCATGTATTCCGGCCTCGTGCTCACCTCAAGCTCGCCTCTCGCCAGGGCAGATTGAGCAAAAAGGTAAGATTAGCTCGAACCGAATGAAGATACGTGCACAACGCATCTCGGACTCGCGTCAGCATGAGCATGCTCTCTGCGCGGGAGCGACCACCGCCCAGTACAAGCGGAGGCATGGCATTGGCGTTCGGATATCGGGCTTGAGACGCTTACAAGTGACACACAGCGTAGGATAAGAAAGTAAGCTGGGATGGGGACGGGGAACTGGAAAGAACGGAGCGGCAAGGACAAACGAGCAGAAAACAAAAGGAACCACCGAAGGACAAGCGCCGATAGAAAAGAAAAGACGGAGATGAACGCATGAAAAGCGAAACCCCGCGCACGAGGGACGGGCGGATATCGAAACGAAATGGCGGATCAAAATCTGCCCCGAGCTGCATGAACACCTCGGTGCATCATTTCCGAAAAAGTCCCGTGTGTCACCTTGGAACACACCATCCTGATCCCCTGGGCCACAACGAGACCTTGCGCGCCGCGCCCACACGCGATGGACACCGGCAGAAGAACCATCCACTCACAGGGAGAACGGCCCATCCACGGGGTTGCAGTCGCGCGCAGAAAATATTGACGTGCCTCCAGCATGCCCCACTCCACTGCCAACAGCGGAGACAGCACAAACCCGCACGCCCACCCCGCGGTCGACGTCCACACATCATGAACGCCGGCAGAGGTGATAGACGTCACCCATCGGTGCAGCGGAATCAGAGGGCGGCGCAGTCAGGAAAGCGTAGACGCCCGCGCCGATGCGGAGGAAGGGAATGCAGACGCCGGCACGCGGGATAATGAACGCGCGCTGAGCACAGGACGCAGACGCGCGGCGCAGACACCGCAGACACGATGATAAAGGCGCGCGCACGGTGACCGTGACCGTGATCACCGGCGCAGGACGTAGGGTGTAGAGGGGAGCTGCCCAGGCAAGGTCACACGCTGGGGTTGGGGTTCGCGAGGAAGGGATGGTCGGTGTTGCTGCATCTAAATTCTAGAGGGATTCGACTGCGAAATTGACGGCTCGGAGCCGCGATACGTTTGAGGACATACAGGGGGCTGGCTATCGTATCGAGATGTGGATCCGAGTTCAGGAATAGTGCGTATTCGTGAGGAGGGAGCTCGAGGTCGAGAAAGGGCAGAGAGTGGATGGAGGAAGACACTGCTGACCAATGCTGGGGGCGGTGGCAGCCTGGCGTGCCGGGTTGCCGGTCCCTCTTCCTTTTCACCCTGATCATCTTGCGCTGGGACTTACTGCCGCGACTCGGTGGCGAAGGGTATCGCGTCCGCTTCACCTGATACAGTTGATCGGAAGGCGCCTGTTCGAATCAGGCCCGAGTCATTCCGTTAGGCCAGAATTTTTTTCCCTCGTCCTCCACTTTCTGTTTCAGCGAATCTCGGAGGGCTCGCTTCCTCGCGTCTACGAACCTTTCTCCTCCGTGCCTGGACGACATCCATCTCAGCGGACTTTAATCACTTCGACCTCCACCGAATTGGGGTTCCAGGCTTAATTTCCCTGCGTTGTTCATGGTACGTTCAGACTCAATACCGAGTCGGTGGCGGAGGTTCCACATTGCCTTCGCTCAAGGGATAACCATGTAGTCAGCAGAAGACGCCCGTTCGACTCGGGCCCGAGTCATGAGAGCAATCTTGGAGATTCTGCGCTGATTTTTGTCATTCCAGGTTGCTTGGCTATGCAGCTCTGAACAGATGCTTGTAATGATTCGGTGGCGGATGGTCCGTATCTGTTGCATACGAAAGCTGCTGCCTTGCTGCCTCTTGCACGCAGACGACGCCCGTTCGACTCGGGCCCGAGTCATGGAGGCTGGTGCATTGTCTTTTTTGCACCTAATATTTTTTGGCCAGGCACCCATTTCAAGACATTCCTGTGCTGGTATAGTGACCTTGGTTATACAAGGTGCTCCAAGCGAAATATCGGCTCGGTGGTGGACGGTTCGCATCTGCTGGCTATTCTGGTGTCGGACCCACTTACACGCAGACGTCGCTCGTTCGACTCGGGCCCGAGTCATAAGCATTGAGTGTTCCTGCGCTTTTTTTTATTTTTTTGGCTAGCTCCCTTTTCCCAGCGCTCAAGTTTTCGTTCCTTTTTGTCATCTGGCCCGCGGATTCGTACACAACGCATAGCTTGTGTTCACTGTTCATCGGTATTCCACAATCCGCGATTTAACACTGACTTTATTAACTGCAGTTTGCTTGGATATCTCCGTGGATGGCCATGTACCGACTCCATGCCTTATTTTTGAGGTCTATCGATGTTCTCGAAGTCCGAGGTGTTACATATCGTATGATTCCCATCATTCTCCGGTGCGCGCGCGCCCCTCTGCTCAGCCAAAATGAGCTTTCTGCTCTTGTTTAAATGAGTGGTGGAAGACGTGGGATACAAGCAGACTGGAATAAGGGTAGCTCTTCGCCTCTAGCCGCTCGCTTTGGGACAACTCGGAAGATATTCCTTGAAGATTGAGGAAAATATACACCTGGCTAACGAATTGCAGTGTTTCCAAGGAAATTCTGTGCAGCAGAAAGTATGGCTTCGCCACGTATTAATTCGTCAATGATAATATGAGTAAGTAACGACGGTGGTGACATAAATCCATGAATTAATTTAATTCATCAATCTAGTTCGTTCAAGCTAGCGCTGCGAGCCGCTTTGCTTCCCATCCCGTTGATATATTCCAAGAGCTGCTTGACTTCGCTATCCGAAAGATTGGCGAAGGCCTGAAGGCTGGAATCATTAATTAGCTACGGATTGAGATAGGATTAGGATGAGCGGGCTTACGAGGCGGCTGGTGCATCCGTTCTGTCCCGGTGAAAGCGGTGTGAGTCACCGAGCCAAGACACAGAAAAGATGGACTCACGCAGAAGGCGGTGCGGCGGGGTCAGTGGTGTCAGTGGTGGTCGTGGTCGAGTCCGAGTCCCCAGCACCACCCAGCAGCGTCTCGAGACCCCCGATAGCAGCACCAGAAAGAACGCCCTTACCCAACGTCTTCAGAGAAGTGAGGAGGCCCAAGGGGATAGAGAACCGAGCATTCAATTCGAATTCGCGCTTGTCCACGCCATTGATGTACTCGAGCAGCTGATTGACTTCGCTGTCCGATAGATCGGTGAAGGGGCGGCTAATTTTGAAATGAAAGAAGACATCAGGGACGAAAATGGTGTTTTTAGGTAGAAAGCGTGATGCGTACCTGAACAGCTTGCTCAGGATGAACTCGATGCCGCCTCCAACTGTGGCGCCAGGTAAGAGTGAGATTGATTTAAGGGTGGAACAGTAGCTTACCGGTTCCAATGACGTCGCTAAGGCCCTCGATAGGGCCGAATTGGCGTGCGCTGACGGTGGTGGGATCGGTGTCGGTGCTGGCAGTTCCCGACGAGGCTCCCCCGAGGAAATCCCCGACAAGGCCCTCGATGCCCTGGCCGAGGAATCCCTCGAGCAAGCTTGCAATGCTGCGGGCAGCAACGCCATTACTGTGAACGTGGTTGATATTTTTTAGAACAACGTCCGAGTAAGGGAGACACGCGTACGTGGTGGGTAGCTCCCGAGCGGCGGGGACAGGTGCAGAGAACGCAGGCGCCGAGGCGGTGATGAGGGTCAGGGCGATGATCGCAGACGGGGTTAACATGGATTAATGGAATAGATGTTATGCGAAGGATGAAAAGAAGGGCAGGGGTAGTCGACAGAAAATATCAAATAAAATGCAACTGAGAGCGAAAGGGTGGAGTAAATAGACCAGGATATATATATTAGCACACCACAGCATGATACGAGCCAGCGCAGGGCAGAGGAGGGAATCACTACGCAGTACCTAAGAGGAGACCAGAAAGAACGAAAGATGAGGTGGCTGGAGTGATACCCTCGCTTCTGTTGGACTTTATACCAAAAAAGGCGCCAAGGTCTTTGGAAGTTTACCGCGGGGATTGAATTGGGCGCCATCTCAGATCTGGCAGACCAGAGCGGATCCCGTTCATAGTGCGGGCGGTGTTTATTATTGATCAGCCCGTATTGTTGCTTCTGGCGAATGTAAATAGCGACCGGGTTGAGGGAAGTCCCAGTTCTCGCCAGATCATTACAAGTTTTCGAATAACGCAGCGGGATTTTAAGATCCATGGAGACAACGTCGAGTGGTTCAAATTGATCCTAAGGGTAAATGATCCAGATTTCGCCTCGCGGACTCAAGTTGTGGGTTTCTTTCCTTCGTTCTTTGGCTCTCAAACTCACTTTACACCGTAGTACACCGCCTATGTCAACCCCTTCCTCGTTGACGTCGGAAAGGTCGAATGCCCGAGGAGCGACAACCGCCGACCAGAATATACTCGGCGTAGCTCGGCCTGTTCGATACTCGGGTTCCCGGCGCTGATTCCGGAGGTTTGTTAAGTAAATGGTGCTTGAGTTTACCACTCCCCTCACTTGCTTGCTGCGCACGCCTGTCGGAGGTGCATGGGTATCCGGGTCCAGTGCAAGCATGCACTATATGCGGTCCCAGTGCTGATCAGGTAGGAATACTCGTACCAACGTTGCTCGAGAGGGCGTGCCGCGGTGGCCCTATAGGCAATTACTTAACAGGTGGAAGGTACAATAAACCGCCACAGGCGGCTAAACGTACATTTGATAGCGTTCGCGCTGATGAACCCCGGGACCCGCGTTGGTAGTCGGCTTCACTGAGTTACTCGGCATAATTCTTCTTTGATTTGCACCGGGAGTTATTCAAACGACTCGGTCGTGGCAAAGTCGATCGCATACGATGAAGACTGGGGCCAGAGTTATCTTGTTTCTCGTTCATTAGAAAGAAGCTTGAACTCTAGGAAGAGCAGAGAGCGGATGAAGGGGAAGACAAAACCACGTCACTGGCACGTGTCAGGTGCGGTGCCGGGCTTGCCGAAGTTGCCGGTCCCTCGACCTTCTCACCTCAACGTCTTCGACTTTTGTTCGACTTGCACTGCTACAACGACTCGGTGGCGAAAAGTACCGCGGCCGCTGCGCTTGCATTCTAAAGCTCGAGCTTAACCAGCGGAAGGCGCCTGTTCGATTCAGGACTTTTGACAGCTGACCTTGTGGCCTTGTACAAGGCCAAACAAGGTCGAACAAGGTCCAAAAAGGTCGCAAGCTCACAAGGCCGCAAACCAAGTTTGAATTTTGATAAGCTCCAAAAAAAATTCCAATTTTTTTTTTCAAGGTGTCTCCTGGTCATCTTTCACATTTTTATTGGGGGTCTTTTTTGGTTTTGAGCTTGTCAGCTTGTCAGCAAGCTCACAAGGTCGAACAAGGTCCAAGGGATTTGTCAGATGGCTGATGCGCGACCGATTCGAAGCTTTTGTTTGCACGCAATTACACGCACTTTTTCCCCTGTCGACTTTATTTTCCAGCCACCTGCTTCCTCCCGTCTATGACCTGCTATCATCGGTGCTCCTGGATAACATCCATCGCAGAGGACTTCAATCATTCTGCGCCTACAGTCACGCACCGAATTCGGGCTCGAGTAGATTTCTAGCCCGATTAATCCCCCCTCGTCATGGTACGTTGAGACTGATATGATTACAGACTCGGTGGCGGACGTTCCGCATCTGCTCACGGTGTGCTGCGGTAGACATAGTTTCCGTAGAGGGCGCTGTTCTACTCGGGCCCCAGTCATGGAGGAAAAGGATCCGCACTCTTTCTTTCCAGTGCTGATCTTTCTCAATCGGACCCGCGTATTTCTATTATCTCGCCGTGAAACCTCCCTTGTCCGGACCGTTACTCCCATTCACGATGCCCAATGCAGAAAATATTGACTTAGCGCATTCCGTGACATCTTTCTGGAGTATTCAGGTGGAATGAAGTGCTTTCGTCGACTCGGTGGCGGACGGTCCGCATCTGCGGCCGATAATTACTGAGACAATGTCAAGCAGAGCACGCCCGTTCGACTCGGACCCGAGTAATCAACTTGTTTTGGAAGTTCTGATATTTTGCAGTTGTCGCCGCCGTTAATTCCAGTTTTTCCAGGCGGAACCTTTTCCGAAAATCCAGAAGATGGTGCCGAGTCATATCGGGTTTTTTGCAAAGCAACTTCTGGATCTTGAGCCCTCTACTCGTATGTGCTCTCCATGCTATGAATCCTCCTGCATTGATTGGTACTTAAATTTTCCTGCACAATTTGACTAATGCTAGCTTGTTCACATATCCATGCTTGTACCGACTCGGTGGCGGAGGGTCAGCGTTCCTCCCCGCTGTATGCAGCAGAGGGTTCCCGTTCGACTCGGGCCCGAGTCATGGCTTGCCCGTTTGTAGAGAGTTAACTTTTTGGCTTGCAAAAGTGGCTTGCGCCTGCGCGGAATGGCTTGTTTCGGGCGGGGGCGTGGATTTGGGTGGGATCACCCGCCCACGCCCGGCCGATCGGCTTGCAAGCCACTTTGATGGCTTGGCAAGCCATTCCGCCAACTTGATCCCAGCCAAATAAAAGAAGTGGCTTGTCCATATTGCGTGGTCATTTCACCCCAACTTACCTATTCTTGCTTCACCGTAGGGTTCCCTCAGGCATTCCTTCAGCTGAGCACCATTCAATTTCATAATTTTGCGCCATAACTGTATATATACACTGTACAGCACAACCACAACTATTTTGGGTTCAAAAAATTGTGGCTTGTGGTTCTCTATACATTTGTATGGTCTTTCACTGAATGAATATGTGTGAGGAGCAATAAACTTGAGGGTTGGTGGCATACTTTTGACCAACTTGACTGTGATTTCAATTTCTTTTCAGGTGAGGCCTAAAAAATATGACGCTGTATATAATTTGAGTTTAGAGCCACCCAAACATAGATGAGACCCTCTTGAATGGCATGCCATCGAATCTGGAGCTACCAGCCACCAGGCTCAAATTTGTTTTTTTACTGTAGTCGAACTTTTGGAACCATTATTTTATTCTGTGACTGTGTGAGGCAGTATACCCCCCGATGCAAAGATTTTTTTCGTTGTGTTTGAGCTGGTGGAAGGGATTCATGGTGGCCGGGGGCTTTGAGCAGAATGGCTTGTACACG